TTGGTTTTATAAATAGTATCCTGTAGATTCCCCACAATATTTTTTAGATTTCTAATTTCCTCTTCTTTTCTTTGGTTTGATTGTATATTTTCCTGTGCTCTGTCTTGTAAGTCTGATATTCTCTCTTCCGCTTCACCCATTTGTTTTAAGGCTCTCTAATATGTTGTCATTTGATCTATTGAATTCTTCATTTCATTATGATTTCTCGTCACTTTCACAGTTTCATTTTCTACTAGTTGTTTCATTCATTTTGATTCCTCCTTAATATTTCATTTTCGCGAGAAAGATTTTCTATCTTGTCCATTAAGGATTTCTGTAGTTCGAGAATTTGTTTTTGAGAACTTCTTAATGTTCTTATCAATTTTTTGAGATCTGCTTCTTGCATTTCTTCTATCTCATCATCTTCATAATCTTGAATTGGGGTGTCTATTTCATTTGGGGGCGTCATAGTGTCTTCCTTGCTCTTGTTTCCTCAGCTTTTGCGTTTTTTTGGCATATTGGAGATATTCTTTGTTTCTTTCTCATTATACTGTGACTCTAGATTAAGAGGACTGTCTGCTTTTGAAGGATCCTTAAAGATTGTAATGGGTGTGGCCAGAGAGCTCTGGTTCTACAGGGTTAAGGGTGTGCCAAAGGTGATTCACCCTGATTGTTCTCTTGCTCTCTCACTCTCTGTCTTTTTTTTTTTTTTTGACTCAGTTGGGAAGTAATTCCACACAGCTGAGTGGAATTGAGAGTAGTTGATGTATGAAATCTGGCCCCTGTGGGTATTCGTTTGCTTACCAGAGTCAGGTTTTTCTGCTTGGCTAATGAGGAGCACCCGCTTTACATATACAAAATGAAGCTCACTGCTTTACTTACGTAAAATGGCACCTGCCCTCTGTCTTGCTCGGCTTTGTGAGGTGAGTGGAGAGAGAGGCTAAATGTCCGTGCCGGTTCCCCTTATTTATTAGATTTTTTTCTCTCCTCCAGCCAGCCTGGTGAACTTTCCCCAATAGGGTTTCAGGCCTCGTTCTCTGCAGGCTTTTTCTGCCTCTCCCCGCCAATGTCTCGGGTTACTGAGAGGTTTTTAGCTCACCTCCCCTTTCAGCGCTGGTGCTCAGACTCTGAGGCTCCGGCGGGTCCTGTGGCCCCGGCAGCTCCCGTGGCTCGGCTTCCACACGTTAGGCAACCTTGCTCTCCCCGTAGGTCCTCCAAATCACAGCCACTAGATCCGGAAGAGTTTCCTATGCAATTTTTCCCTGATCCTTTTCCTGAGGCTACCGTAACTCCACATTTATTAAACTATCTTTTCCCGGATTGTCAGTGGGCGCCCTCACTATTCCGCCATCTTGGCTCTGCCCCCCCAATATCATTGCATTTCAAGGCGCCTGTTTCACTCCTACAGTTTACTTTTTCTTTTTTATGACCAAGTTATATTTCATCATTTATATGCACCCATTTACTTTCTTCAGTCATCATTTGATAAGCATCTAGGTTGACTCTTATTTTTGTTGTTGTTAATTATACTGCTATAAACATGGGACTGTAGATACCTCTTTTATATACAGATGTCATTTTTTAAAATATAAATCCAGAAGTGAGACAGCTGGGTTATATGGTGGATCCATTTTTATTTTTTGAGAAATTTTCATATAGTTTATATCCTTCTTTAAGGTGACATGCTGTGTTTGTTTGTTGATTTGCATATATGTATCCATCCCTCATACCTAGGATATACTATACTTGGTCATGATGGCTAATGATTTTGATGTGTTGTTCGATTCAATTTGCTGCTATACTTTAGAATATTTCTACAGCTCAGTTCATGAGGGATATAGGCCTACAGTTCTTTTCTTCAGTACTTTTCTCTGGTTTTGGAATTAAGGTAATGCTGTCCTCGTAGAATGAGCTTAGAAGGATTACCTGACTTTCATTATTCTGAATAGTCTGAGAAGAATTGGTAGTAGTTCTTTTTAAAAGTTTGGTAGAATTCAGCAATTGAGACACCTGGTCCTGGACTTTGCTTTGTTGGGAGACTTTTTATACTGGTTAAACTTCACTCTTGGTTATTGATCTACTCGATTCCTGTCTTAGGGCATTAATTTTGGTGAATTCTGTGTCCAGTAGTAAGCTCTTTCCTCTAGATTTTCCAATTTCTTGCCTATAGTTTATAATCATTTCTAACGACTCTGTATTTCTGAGGTATCACATGTAATATCTTCTTTTTCTTTGATTTTATTGATTTGTATCTTCTTCCTTTTTTGGTTAGTCTCAATAATGGTATATCAGTTTTTAATTTTTTCCCAGAAATAACTGTTCTTCATTTCATTGATCATTTTTATTGTTTTAAATTTCTGTTCTTATCTCTTCTCTAATTTTTAGTATTCCTTCCTCTCCACATTTTGGTTTGTTTATTTTTTCCTTCTTTTGTTAGGTCTGCTAGGTGCATTGTTCACTTACTTGTTAGATACATTTCCATTTTTTTATGTAGGTACTTATTTTTGTAAGCATTCCTCTTAATACTGCTTTAGCTGTATGCCTTAGATTTCAATAGGCTGTGTATCCATCTTTCATTTTCAGTAGTGCCAAGGAAATTTTAATACACAGTGAAGGGTACAGGTTGTGGTGCAGCTGGTAAAGCCACAGATTGCAACATCAGCATCTCATGTGGGTGCCAGCGCATGTCCTACTTGCACCATTTCTAATCCAGCTCCATTTTAATGACATGAGAAAGGCAGTGGATGATGGCCCAAGTGTTTGATTCCCTGCCACCCATGTGGGAGACCAAGATGAGGCTCCTGGCTTCAACCTGAAGCAGCCTTAGCTGTTGTGGCCATTTGGGTTTGAACAAAAGGATGGAAGATATATGATGTATGATGGACATCTAGGTTGACACTCAACCAAGTTGTCCACAAACTGGTGACCTGATAAAGGGACATAGCATATATAACACAATGGAATACTAATCAACCCTTAAAACATGAAATCTGGACATTTGCAATTAAAATGAATGGAAGTGGAGATTATTATGCTAAGTGAGTTAGCAAGTCTCCAGGAGGCAAACATGACAAGTTTTCTCTTATATGTGGCAGTTAGTATAGAGTATACAATTATATGGCTGTTATGTCATTTGGTAATATAAATAGTGCTTCATGGAATCATAACATATAAAAAATGCACCTTTCTTTCATGATGCTATTATTATTGTCACAAATCTCTCATGTTGTGGTATTGATATCTCTGTTTTCAAGAAAATCAAATTAAATATGAATATTAAAAAATAAAATATACAAGATATGATTCTGATTTTCAAAATCTGTTGAAGGTTGTTTTATGTTCTCAAATAGTATCATCTATTGTAGAGAATGTTCTATGTGCTGTTAAAAATAATGTATATTCTGCAGCTGTGGGATGGAATGTTCTATAGATTTCTAATAGTTCTACCTAAAGAGTACAGAACAGCTCTGCCTTTTTATTTGTTGATTACTGTCTATTTCATCTGTCTATTGATGTATGTTGTGTGTTAATGATCCCCAGAACTATTGCTTTGGAGCTTATGTATTTCTCTATATGGATGAAACTGGATGTCCTAGCTATAGGTGCATATATATCTGCAATAGTCATATCTTCTTGGTGAATAGATCACTTGATCATTCCACAATAGCCTTATTTGCTTTTTCTTTAGCAGTTTTTCCCCTTACAATCTATTTTGTCTGAAGTAAGTATAGCTACTCTTACCCTATTTGATTTTTCCATCTGTATCTTTCTCCATCCTCCCAATTTCAGTTTGTGTGTCCTTGGTGGTGAAGTGTGTACCTTGTTTTCAGCATTTGGTGGAGCACTGTTTTCTTATCCATTCAGTCAGGCTGTATCTTTTAATGGGAATTTTGTTAGCCATTTAAATTCAAGTTTATTATTGGCAAGTAATTACTTGATCTTGCCTATTTTCCATAAAAATTCAGTTTGTTTTGAATATCCATTGTTCTTTCACTAGTATATTTGATAACTTCACTCTGTTTTATGATGATGATTGTCTTTGTTCTATATGTGCTGCATTCTTAAGTATCATTTGTAATGCTTACTGAATAGTGATAAATTATTTAATGACTTCTTGTCCTGGAGGGTCATTATTTCGTCTTTATTTATGAATGAGTGCTTCTATGGGTAAAGTATTGTGGGTTGGCAATTTTTCTTTCAGTACTTGGACTGTATCTCTTCATTCTCTACTGTCCTGTGGAGTTCCTGTTGAGTAATTTGTCAACTTGTGAAATTTATTTCAAAAGCTAATACTGCTGTTCTCTTATCATTTTTAGAATCTTCTCTTTATGTTTTCTTTTTCAAAGTTTGGACTAAAATGTGCCAGGGTGAGACTGCTTCTGGTCCTGCCTATTTGGGATTCTATGAAGTTTCTATATTTGGGTGTGCATACTTTTCTCTAAATAGGGAAGTTTCTGCCTATTATTTCATTGTCTAGATTCTGTTAGCAGTTCATTTTGCCTTACTCCATGACTTTCCAAAACTCCTGCCTCCAGTAGATTGATGGTATCCCAGTGATCTAAGACATTATTGTCATTAGTTTTAATTATTTTCTTTACTTTGTTTGGTCTGATATTTGAAAAGACCTGTCTTCTAGATCATTTGTCTTTCCTCTGTCTCTCATATCTTCTGTTAAAGTTTTCAGCTGAAATATCATTTGCTTTATTGAGGTCTTCATTTCTAATATTTTTGTTTGGTTCCTTTCCAATACTCTAGGTCTTTACTTTCTGAATTCTGTCAAATATAATCTAAACCATTGTCATTGTAATTACCTGATAAAGTCTGTATCTCTGGTGTAACATTCACCTTGGATTAGGATATTTTGAGTAACACCCAAAAATGACAGAGTTCTTACAGATAGGTCAGGACACAGGAAACCCGAAAAGAAGGCATCATGGTCCTTCCATGTTCATTACATTTTAACCAGTAAAAAAAAAAAAAAAAAAAAAAAAAAAAAAAAAAAAAAAAAAAAACACCTTAATATTAATTAAAGGAAATCAAGTATTTTAACTAATTTAACTAATTGTTGTACCACTTTTGCTGTTTAAACCCTGCAGCTTTGGTCAACTTTCCATCGACCAGAGATGGTCCGATCAAACTTGGAAAAGTCACTGAAAAACCTTCAACTGGACTATGTTGATCTCTATATTATTCATTTCCCAGTATCTATGAAGGTAGGGAGTTCATATCAAATTTATTTCATTGCAGTAGTCAGAATGGTTATCATTATCATGGATGAGTGAACAATACTGATAAATTTACAGAATGATAATTTACATAACTTATAGAAACTGCTCACGGTAGTTAAAGCTACATCGTTTATTGGATTAAATAAATGGGAAGCTCAAGTCATGCTCATTTATGTTTGATAGCTTCACTGCATCTTCTAGTACCAAAATTATTATTGAATAGAAACTTGATCCACGTCCTGTGGTACTAGTGCCTGCTGTTGGGTGAACACATTTTCAGGAAAATAAACAGCACTGATTGTTTTGCCTGGGTCAATACTAGAGTCCATAATCGGTGGAGATCAAAGTCACCTAACAACTGATCTTCACAATGAAACAGATATTTGTTTGGAGTAAAGAACAGAAGAACACGAAGTAATATAAATCCACAGGGCCCTATTATGCACTGGAAAAATACTAATTATTAATACACATAATAGCAGTTAGAGGGGGAGTGTAGCCTCATGACATTATCCACTAGTCCATATGCAGTGCACATTGCATCTGTTGTGGAGCAACACTAAATACAATGGATGTATTGCTGTCGTCTGGGTAGCTGAATATGATGGTATATTGAAATAACTGCTCTTTTCTAGCCTGGGGAAAAGATTTTTCCTACTGATGAAAATGGAAAAGTCATGTTAGACATGGATGGATCTCTGTGCCACTTGGGAGGTGAGTACTTGGAGGAATGAGTACAGAGGAAGCAGGGAAAGGGAAAACCGGGTCACAATTAATCTTAAACGAATGAGATATTCATTCATGGATGCACAAAGGATGATGTACTAAAGCTTGGGGTAGGAAGACAATACTGGGGAGAAACAGAAAGGTAAAGGAGATTAGTGGAATTGCAAAGCAGGCTTCTTTTTCTGTGTATATACAATACTTCCTCTGGTTTCCTAAGAAGGACACAAAATTCTTTGTCTTGTTGTCAGTGTCTTCCCCTATGCTCTTTATTAGTTTTTCTCTTTGGTGTCTGTCACCCAGTGCCCCTTACCTTCATTATAATCTCTGATAATGTTCCTCTTAACTGTGTTAAATGCCTTTGTATTATTCTACCCAGCTGTGAAAATATTTCTTCACTATCGTTCCTCCCAGGCCATGGAAAAGTGCAAGGATGAAGGATTGGCCAAGTCCATCGGGGTGTCCAACTTCAACCGCAGGCAGTTGGAGATGATTCTGAACAAGCCAGGGCTCAAGTACAAGCCTGTCTGCAACCAGGTGACAATTCTCTTCCTTCTTGCTTTTCATTCCCTGCTCCCTGTGCTTCTGGTAGTTGTCCATCTGTTTGCCACTTCTGTCAACGTATTGTGTGAAACAGAAGATTCTGCAGGCCGAGCCTCTGTAAGCAAGGGAAGGAAGTGCCCTCAATTGTTTCTGTGCCTGTCCCTTGTCTTAGTGAAATGGCAAGGAGATGTTAAGCTGAAATATGTGTAAGAATATGGAGCAGGTGTGAGAGTGGTAACAATGATCAAGAAAGGCAGCAGCCAATAATGAATCCTCAGTGGGAAGATTAATTCTTCCCAGATCAATGATCTGGAGGATGACCAGATGCATTGACTGCTGAAGATGATGTTGAAGGAACTCTATATAGGAAAGAACTCCAAGAAGATATCTGATCGGTAGTAAATAAAGACAGAGTGAATGTCAAATAGGCGGTGAAGGTTTGTTTGGTGTTGAAAGACCTGAACCCTTCCAGTTGGTATCTTTTCTTTCAGGTTTTTTGAACAGAGACTTAGAAACAGGAAAAAAAATAACTGAAGATAATCTGGGGAAGAAGGTGGCAGTTAGGTGTTGATGGTGATAGTATTGTGGGCTACATCAGTGCTCTGAAAATTTTAGCAAAACTTAAGTGATCTTATCCCTGAGCACATTTTAGTCTGCATTGCCTCACTTTTTTGCCACCAAATCAGCTGTTTAACCACATCTATTCTGTGCCTGGTTCCATGATCTAACTTTGTATGTAACAACCTACAATCACACATAAAGACCTTTCAATGAAAAATCTGGCATATAATTCATATATTGATGAAACACTGATTCTCAACAAAAAAATTGTAAAATTAATATGGCTTTCAATATGAATTTTACTCCAAATCAATTTTTTGACAGATAGGGTTAGACAGTGAGAGAGAGACAGAGAGAAATGTCTTCCTTCCATTGGTTCACTCCTCAAATGGCCACTACGGCCAGAGCTACGCCGATCCGAAGCCAGGTGCCAGGTGCTTCCTCCTGGTCTCCCATGCGGGTGCAGGGGCCCAAGCACTTGGGCCATCCTCCACTGCTTTCCCCGGGACACAGCAGAGAGCTGGCCTGGAAGAGGAGCAACCGGGACTAGAACCTGGCACCCATATGTGATGCTGGCGCTGCAGGCTGAGGATTAACCGTGAGCCACGGTGCCAGACCCAACTCCAAAATTTTTTATTTGAAATTTAAAACATTCAGGATATTTGATAATACAGATATTCCATATTTATCTCCCAAACCCACAATTGAAGATATTTTTTATGTGTCTAATGTTAATAGGCATATAGCAATATGTCTTAATACATATCTACAACATTTTGCTGATCCTCTTGATACTATTTGCTGAAAAGGCTATTCATCCAACACAGACCTCAGGAAAATATCTCCTTGGATAGAAGACACCATACCACATAGATATAGTTTCACAATTGGGCCTAAATTAGTTTTCAATTTCTTCTTCATATAATTTAACATTTTCCATACTGTAACTTTTCTTTGTTGTCCACAAATGTCTTTCTATAGTGCAGTAAATTATAGTTCACAAATAGAATTTGTTAGGTTTGTCATGCTTGTTTTTTCCTAGAATGGTGAGCAATCTTTTCTTCCTGTAATATCTAGACAGATTTTGGCAGATGTTCTGTTTTTTCTCAGATTGTTGACTTATAGTAATATTTCTTTATTTTAACTTTCCATAAATGAGACGTTAGATTTGAATGCTTTAAGATTTCTTTCTATTTTTTGAAAAACATTTCATTGCAATTAACAGTAGTCAATTAGGTGATAATACTCAACAAAGAATGAAATATTCCTTAACCGATTTTTACACAATGGATAAGTAGCCATTGATGACTTTTGTCTTAACTGATGATTGCACTGCTGTTTGTAAATAATTAATTGCATTTAAAGTACACTTTTTGCTTTTGTTACTTGACATTTGCACCTTAAATCAGTATAAACCATAATTATTCCTGTAAGATAGGAGAGACATTAATACTTTCCCTTTAATTAGAAAGAAGTTAATGTTATAATCACTGTCACTAGGGGCAAATTTTTATATTCCCTCTTCCATTTTTATATATTGATAAATATGGAACCATGGATTTTCATGTACTCTATGTTAGAATTATTTTTACTCATTATTCTTTGGATGCTGAAATCTATCAATACAATTCCTACCATATAGATATGTTAGTCCATCGGAGATGCCCTAATGAGGCTTTTAAAAATGCTTGCTTTGTGGCATATTCAGTGCCAAAGATCAAAGAATGATAACCTTGTCTCAGAAGTGTTGATTGTCTGCTTAACACAGAAACAATTATTTAGCCACCCAAGAACTGAGCATGTATGTACTTCTTTTCAGGAATTCATATTTTCATATTTCCACAAAATATTAAATATTAAATTATTTCCAAAAAATATTAAATTATTTGCTTTAAAAATTCTTACTTGGGGGCCAGCGTTGTACTGGATACTGAGCCTAAGCTTGTGACACCTGAATCCCATATTAGAGTTATATTCCCAGGGGCTCCATTTCCAATCCAGCTTCTTGCTAATGTGTCTGGAAATGTACTAGATGACTGTAGAACTTGGGCCTTCCCCCCACATATAGGTTCTAGGCTCCAGGCTTCAGCTTGGCCCAGCCCTGAATGTAGTGATCGCTGTTGGACGTGAGCTAGCAGTTGGAAGGTCTCAACTTCAGTCTCTCTCTCTCTCACACACACGCACTCTCTCTCTCTCTACCTTTCTAATAAAAGATGAATATTAAAAATAAAATTTAAAATTTATATTTATAGATATGTCCAGTCTAAATATCATGTTACATTGTTTAGTGCAACTACATTTACTTTAAAATTTTCTTTAAAATTAATATTAACCTTTTATATAGTCATACTTTTCAATCTGTGTATCCACAGGTGGAATGTCATTCCTATCTCAACCAGAGAAAACTGCTGGAATTCTGCAAGTCAAAAGACATTGTTCTGGTTGCCTACAGTTCTCTGGGATCACATAGAGACCCTAAATGGTAAGAGAAAAACAGGCAAGTTTATTCAAAATATCATTGTTGATGAAATATTACTAGTTTTGCAGAGTTATCTATCAACTGGCTCAGGGGGGTGGCATAATTTGCATTTCAAGCAGGGTCAGATGATATTATTTTGGTGACCCAAGAACCGCTTTTGAGCAACACTTGTTCAGAATGGGTCTGCTAATCTGTTTTTGGACGCCTCTGACAGTCTGAAACTTAACCTCAGAAGTTAGCTTTTCTACCTCTCCTTCCAGGGTGGACCAGAGTGCTCCAGTTCTCTTGGAAGATCCAGTCGTTTGTGACTTGGCAAAAAAGCACAAGCGAACTCCAGCCCAGATTGCCCTCTGCTACCAGCTGCAGCGTGGGCTTGTGGTCCTGGCCAAGAGTTTCACTGAGAAGCGGATCAAATGAACATGCAGGTGATGGACATGTGGGGCTGTAGGCACCATGGATCCTACACAGTATCTTTCACTGTGTACTTCTTAGCAAGATGTCAAGACATCTTTAGGCCAAGTCTATTTCTCTGGTTTTGATGATGCATTTGAGATTTGTATATATTTCTGACACATCAGGGCTAAATAGAATTAATGGTGAAACAGAAAGCAGAGAATAGTGTTGCAGCATTAAAGATAGTATACTCTGCAGTCAATCGCAAAGGGGCATCTTGTTTTCCTTTTCTGAAATTAGGGCACCAGACTATGTATTTTTGGTTGTTAATTTATGATTATTTTATTTTTAATTTCTCAGAATTCATATAGTTTAATACCTATATATTATTAGTTAGGTTTTCCTGTCTTGTAAAGCAGGTATTTAAGTCTTTGTTTAAACAGATCATGTTTCTGTTTTCATTAAGAGACTCTTTTTTTTTTTAACTTTTATTTAATGAATATAAATTTCCAAAGTACGACATATGGATTACAATGGCTTCCCCCCCATAACGTCCCTCCCACCCGCAACCCTCCCCTCTCCCACTCCCTCTCCCCTTCCATTCACAGAGATCCTTCATGAGGAGGACCTTGTCTAAGCAAGATAAGAGTCGGAGTACTCAGAGGGCTTCCATAGCCTTGGAAACTCATGACTGGAGCATAGGGAGATTACTGATGCCATAGACAGGAGTGTCAATTGGTAAAGTCAACAACAGGAGTCACTGTGCACTTACTCCTCATGTAGGATCTCTGTCCTTAATGTGCTGTGCATTGAGATTTAATGCTATAACGAGTACTCAAACAATATATTTCACTTTGTGTTTCTATGGGGGTGCAAACTGTTGAAATCTTTACTTAATGCATACTAAACTGATCCTCTGTAAAAAAAAAAAAAAAAAAAAAAAAAAGAAATTATCAACTCCCAACTTGACTCTCACTGGGATTAAACATGACAATAGGTCTGATCTGATTTCATCATCATTTAAAAAAATCATCTATTATTTTTCACTTTATGTTTCTGTGTGGGAGCGAACTGTTGAAATCCTTACTTAATTTATACAAAGCTGATCTTCTGTATATTAAGATAATCGAAAATGAATCTTGATGTGAATGGAAGGGGAGAGGGAGTGGGAAAGGGGAGGGTTGTGGGTGGGAGGGACGGTATGGGGGGGAAGCCATTGTAATCCATAAATTATCAGATATTTCAAAGCTTGCTATAAATTCTTCTGTATCTTGCAAGCACATGGCCCAGTCATTTTTAAATAATGTCAGCTTTGTTTTCCCACTACTATCCTCTATCTATAGGATTGTACAGTATCAATAATCTAGTAATGAATATTTTATTTTTGTCACTATTTTTTCATTCCCTTTTAATTTCTATTGTTTGTCATACTTTATAGTTTCATTTTAATGTAATATTAATAAGAAGAGGAAAGATGTTAGGTCAGTGTTTTTGATTACTGTTTTTGTGAAGTCTTGAAGTGCTGAGAAGCATTCCAGGATTTTTCAGATTATCAGTATAAAAATAATAATAATTTCTGCTCTCTAATAGTTTTTTCAGTTTCAATTGTCTTCAGAGGACATGAACGTTCTAGATGGTCTGAACAGAAATCTTCGCTATGCTGATGCTGAATTGTAAGTTTTTTGGTAAAGGCATTCCCTACATTTATTTCCTGAAGAGGCATGTAGGATGGGTATTAGCCTCTATTCTCCAACTATCTGTAAGCATGAACTCTGGGGAACCCCCGTGTTGCCTAATTAAATGTTTGCAAAATGATGACTACTTCCTCTTTCCACAAACCTTCTCAATTCTTACCAGATTGAAGGTATATCCAACAAATCTGTGGTCATAGGCAGAAATCTTTTTACTTAGCATGTTGGTTTATTTCATAAGTCAAGAAGAATATTTTCCTTCCAAGAATTTACAAACTAAAATTTGAGTGGACCATAATGTGCAAATCAAATCCTGACTTTTGTAAATGACTGATTTATTTTTGGTATATTTTCTAAACAACATTGTCTTGAAACCTTGAGAATTTGGAAAACTTTAGCTTATAATGTTCATCATGTGAATTGCCTTCTTATTTCTTTTTTTTTTAAAGATTTATTTATTTATTTAAGAGGTAGTATTACAGAGAAGGTCTTCCACCCACTGGTTCACTTCCCAAAAGGCTGCAAGCTGTGCTGATTCGAAGGTGGATTGGAAGAAGAGTAGCTGGGACTAAAAACCGGCACCCATATGGGCTGCTGACAATGCAGGTGGAGGTTCCATCTACTATGCCACAGCATCAATCCCATGACTTGACTTTTATTTATGGTAGTGGAGTATTTCTTTAAAATTGCTTATTTAAGTACCTAAAAGTGAGAGGAAGAAGTTGCATCTGCATTTTAAAGGAAATGAATACTATTTTCAGAGGTCTTGAAAGTTTATTTATGAGCATATTTTCTTGGGGAAAGAAGATAGATAAATGGATATTATCATAATGTGAAATTTATTTGGTGAATTTTGATACACAATCATTAATAAAGAAATCATAAGGAAAACTAACCCAATGGCACTCTTTTTTTTTTCTTTTCTTTTTTTTTTTTTTTTTTTTTTGGACAGGCAGAGTTAGACAGTGAGAGAGAGAGAGACAGAGAAAAAGGTCTTCCTTTTTCCAGTAGTTCACCCTCCAAGTGGCTGCTATGGACTGAACGTTGAGGCCAGTGCGCTGCGCCAATTCGAAGCCAGGAGCCAGGTGCTTCCTCCTGGTCTCCCATGCAGGTGCAGGGCCCAAGGACCTGGGCCATCTTCCACTGCCTTCCCGGGCCACAGTAGAGAGCCAGACTGTAAGAGGAGCATCCAGGACAGAATCCAGGGCCCTGACTGGAACTAGAACCTGAGGTGCCAGGGCCGCAGCTGGAGGATTAGCCTAGTGAGCCGCAGCGCCGGCCCCCAGTGGCACTCTTATGGCTTTGGGTATCCTAAGACAAATATCCAATGGTCCACAAGTATTTACACTGTTCATTATAAAAATCACTTCAGAAATAGATCAAAACATACTTTACTTTAGACAATACTTTGTTTGCAGAAATATTTTGGTAACACTCCTAGTCTGTAAATTATAGATATCTTACTAATAATAAGTATGAAAGTGATCTCTGTTAAATGTAAGAGTGGGAATAAGAGAGGGAGGGGATGTACAATTTGGGACATGCTTAAGCTGACTAGCCCCAAGTGGTGGAGTTAGAAAGGTGCCAGGGGATTCCAATACAATCCCATCAAGGTGGCATGTACCAATACCACCTAACTAGTCCAAGCAATCAATTTCAGTTCACAATAGACCATGATGATAAGTCTAAGAGTCAAAGGGATCACATAAACAAGACTAGTGTCTGCTAATACTAACTGATAGAATTAAAAAGGGAGAGAACGATCCAACATGGGAAGCAAGATATACAGTAGACTCATAGAATGGCAGATGTCCTAAACAGCACTCTGGCCTCAGAATCAGCCCTTAAGGCATGCAAATCTGGCTGAAAAGCCCATGAGAGTATTTTAGACATGCAAAGCCAAGACACACTGTAAGAAAAAAAAAAAAAAAGAAGACCTAAATGGAAGATCTCTGCGAGTGAGATCCCAGTGGAAAGAACAGGGCCATCAAAGAAGGAGGTACCTGTCTCTGAAGGGAGGAGAGAACTTCCACTTTGACTTTGGCCTTGTCGAAATAAGATCTAAGTCAGTGAGCTCAGGGGGCTTCCATGGCTTGGCAACTCATGACTAGAGCCTTGGGAGATTGGTGATGCCTTAAACAAGAGTGTCAATTTGTTAAGTCAACAACAGGAGTCACTGTGCACTTACTCCTCATGTAGGATCTCTGTCCTTAATGTTTAGTTCAAAGTGAATTAATGATATGACTAGTGTTCAAACAGTATTTGGCAATTTGTGTTCTGTGTGGGGAGCACACAGAATATATAAAGATATTCGAAAATGAATCTTGATGTGAATGGAATGGGAAAGGGAGTGGGAGATGGGAGGGTTGTGGGTGGGTGGGAAGTTATGGGGGGGGAAAGGCCATTGTAATCCATAAGCTGTACTTTGGAAATTTCTATCTACTAAATAAAAGTTTAACAAAAAAAGTAATATATACCTAACACATACGTGCTATTATTAAAAGAAGTACAAAATAAGTCAACTTGGGACTTACATAGGCAGAAATACTTCACCCTCCCTATGGAATTTCCCCTGAGATACTTGCAACTTAATGATTTAGTAGTTTGAAATCTCTCCCTTCCTTTTCACTACGTTTGCTAAGGATCCAAACACTGCATTTCTCTTGAGGGAGTTTGGCCTTAAAAAGTCAATAGAAACACTTTGTTATGATTTTCTGAAGTATGGTGACCATGATGCAGAGAGTGAAATCTTAAAGTTAGATTGAAAGTGAAAGAGTCAAAAGCATACAAGGGGAGACAAAGTATATCCAATATATATCTTTTTTTTTCAACCTGTATATGTGATTATCTCTGCTGTGGCCAGGGAGTGCAGTGGAGGATGGCCCAGGTGCTTGGGCCCTGCACCCCATGGGAGACCAGGAAAAGCACCTGGCTCCTGGCTCCTGCCATCGGATCAGCGCGGTGCGCCGGCCGCAGCGCGCCGGCCGCGGCGGCCATTGGAGGGTGAACCAACGGCAAAAGGAAGACCTTTCTCTCTGTCTCTCTCTCTCACTGTCCACTCTGCATGTCAAAAAAAAAAAAAAAAAAAAAAAAAAAGAAAAAGAAAACTTTTATTTAATAAATATAAATTTTGAAATACAATTTTTGGATTATAACAGTTTTCCCCCATAAACTCCTTCCCACATGCAAACCATCCCGTCTCCTACTCCCTCTCCCATCCCATTCACATGAAGATTCATTTTCAATTATCTTTATATACAGAAGATCAACATAGTATATACTAAGTAAAGATTTCAACAGACTGCACCCACACAGACACACAAAGTATAAAGT